CTGAACTCTAAACCCTAAACTCTACCAGCACCCCCCGACGCACCGTTAATGAAGCTATTGACCAAAGGATGGTTAATAAGAGGCACTTTCTCATTTCGTCATTAAGAGGGACTTGTTCCTCTTGATTCAGTAGAGTCTGCCATAAGATAATATAGGACGATTTCGGCATCGACAGCTGGCATGGATCAGATTTATAATGTGGCCGGCTAGGGTTTAGGGATATCTTACAACCCGCTCTTCAAAGACGACGTGGCGCTGTCAATCCTTTTCAGCGAGGCACCCCCGGCATGTTTGGTGACTCCAACTGACGAAGCCATCGGCAGCACACGTATGCAGAGTATCTGAGTAAGACCTGTCTGCCGAGTTGTAAAGGGTGAGACTTCATTGCCATTCTTTTGATCTTCCCGACCTGGTTTTGCGATGCTCATGATACTCCAGACACTCCATTTTAATGCTCTATGGTTGCAGATGAGCGGCTGCATCTTCATCCATGTAGCAGCTGAGGACAATGGGGTTGATTCTTGCGGCTTGATCATAGGCAATGTGATCGAGCCTGCACAAATGTATAAAGTAAAAAAAGGAATCAAGAAAAGTGACGTGCTGCGAATCTCTATGACACCGCACTAGCTGTTAACCTCGCCGGGGCACTTGTGGAATTTGGGACGCAGCTTCCACAATAAGCGCCCATTATCGATCGCTTCTGTGGCCAAACCTGATTCAAATGAGGATGTGTGGTGTGCTGGGTGGGCTTGCTGGGCAAGAAACATGCATAAAACACAGCTCCTGTTTGCAACCTAGAAGCTGTTGAGTGCACTATGATACAAGTAGTTCGCTTGCTGCAGTTTGAGAACATTCTCTGGGCTCAGTGTGCAGTGGTGGTTGTCCCCCTTCATGGAGATTGCATTCCGCATCCGGACCAAGTTTATGAAAACTGCTGCCCGCAGCCTTGCATGAATCAGCTAGGACTAGCTGCCAAAACACCGCTCTGCCACTGCAAGTTAAGCGTCTCATGATGCACACTTCCCGGATTGCGTGCGGCATCCGCAATCGTCAGTCCCATCAGCCATTTGGCCATAACCACGGCTTCCTTAGTAGGCGTACGACAACATGATTGCTTGCGCCTCCCAGCTGTCCCAGCACTCAGTACTATGATTTGCACCGATCAGCGAAAACAAGCCAGTATTTCGTCGAATCGCTGCTCCGTTCATGTGTTTCTGGGCAATCGTTGGGATCTGGACATTGTGCTTCTTGGTTTCACCAGTCAGCTGCTTCCTAGGTAGAATGTAGGCAATATTGAATTTGCATCTGTATTGTCAGTTCCAAGCAGCAAGCAGCAAACAACCAAGCACATAATGCTCAGCTGAGAGACAGCGAGAAAACTTTCGCTCGGCTTCCTGAATCATTAGTTGAGTCTGGTGATTAGAACATATGAACCCCAATCGTGCACGCAGGCGGCTAATCTTGTGCTTGCGGCACTCGGCAATGAAGTCGACGTAGGCAGCTCGAAGCCGCTCGTTTTGATCAGAACCAGAGAATATCCCTCCCTGCTCCAGAGGGACTTCTGTAAGTTCTATAAGGCACGATGCAGCACTGTCGGGAATGAGTGCCAAATCCACCACGTGAAGCCAATCAAAAACCACCATAGATGGATGGAACCCCGGCAGCTGGACCCATGGATTCGCTTTGCACCCATATTGGATGAAATCAGCAGTGTTCATCATCCTTAGCTGTGCTTAAAATAGTTGTATCATAACAACCCTACATTACACATTGCTCAGTTACGAAGGAGCAGCCACGAATCGTTTGCCTGTGTGGTGCCTGGGGGCCATGGAAGGTGTAGAGGTTCCCATCTGAAGCGTCGGTAGAGGCCTCAGTCAGTCGAGCAGACATGTTTTTGTATCTCAGCAGCACATGAACCCCCACGGAACCCGGCCTGGCATAGAAAACATACTTTTGATGACCAGGCATTGATCATGTGGAAAGCCTCACAAAGGATTCATTCCGGAAGCATCCAGCTTGAGTGTGCCTCCTCACTTGACCCGGCCTTTTGAATGTACTTCTCATCTCCTTTGTGGAATGTAAGAATTCCTCGCCATCCATCCGCGATTGGACCCTTTCTGCCACCTAGGACCACAATTTAAGCTTAAGTTTGTTCTCTCTCTCTCTCTCTCTCTCTCTCTCTCTCTCTCTCTCTCTCTATCATGTTTTGAAAGCGAGAATCGCTCGAAAGGTCGTCCCCACGGATCCACATCTAACCAATGCCCCAGCATCAGCTCCAGCATGGACCAAGCAGTCCACATATCTAGTGCCGTGTAGCATTCATCATCGAACTGGGAGTTGTCCCCGACATAAATCAGAAACTTGCTATCCCAAGGCGTAGCATGCACACAGGCAGAACCCCATGTCAAGACCAAGAACGATCTGCGACGATGACATTCTGCATCATCTCCATGCAACACTAGAGGCACTGTGGTCTCCAGGTTGAGGTCCTGAGTGTGTGCAGATGAACAAAAGCAAGTACAAACACGACTTGTTGAGCCTGGGGACCGCCAGGTATGGGTGCTGGCGCCACCATTCCGAGCATCGGTTCTTGGCCCAGAAGTCTGCTAAAGCCTGGCTCATCTCTCTTAGCAGCAGTCTTTTTGCAGTGATGTGCGACACGATGCAAGCTGAGTAGCGCCGGGCTTCCCAACAACCAACTTGTTGAACAAGGACTTGTCATATGCATACATGCTTGCAAACCTGAGCAACATCGTACTCACAGCCCAAAAAGCAAACAAAATAGGGGACAAGGAGCGCTTCACTAGGAAGGAACATGTGCCACTTGCCCACGTAGTGCGGCTCGATATTCTTGAGGTTGAACTCAGCTAGTGTACGAAAGCTCCGGAATGCACGATGCGCTTGTGACACTGAAACCGATTGAGCAAAGGACCATGACCACATCCACCCTGCAGTGCTAGGATCCCCCATGCAGGCACACATATGACATAAGCGAACCCCACGTTGGACTGCATCCAGGTCATGCAGCTGAGCCACTCCCATGGTGGTGGGAGCATCTTCCTCCAGGCTTGTCGTTCAAGCCATCGCCAGAATGTTCGGGCCACGTGCCTGCTGTTTCCATCCAGGAGGTCAACTAGCTCGCAAAGGTTTTGCCTTAGATAAATCAGGAATATTTGTCATGGGGGGGAACGAAGCAGTATGGCGATTTGCATAGTCTGCATGAGGCATGTAGTGCAGCAGGGCTCGGCAAAAGCCGCCTCGGGAATCTTCGAGCAATCACTTGTAGCATCGACACAATCGTTTGCACACTGACCTTAGCGACTGGCATGGACGAAGCGCTAGCCCAAACTGTTGCAATATACCTGCCAGACCGAAAGAAAGCCGTTTATGCAACTCAGTAGCATCCTTCCCCAGCTCCAAAAATTCTTCCACGATATCCATGATGCCCGACGTCAGTACACATCTTGTAGCAGGTCATGGGGTGCGCAGCATCAAAGGTGCTAGCATTGGGCAACATGGAATCACCCTGCCTTGCTACGGAACGTAACATCTGGTTAGGATCTAGCTATAGTGACCAGCTATTTGCCAAAGGACTATCTGATCTGCAGTAAAGTCACCTGGTACAATAGATAGAGCCCTTATGGTCCTTTATTGTAGGTATTTGGGGTATGATAGAGGGTAGTTGGAGGGGTCTCGTATAGACTACTATATCACATCACTGCTACTTGTAAAACGACAGAAGCTTCTCCTTCGGAGAGTGTCTCAACAAGCATCGGAGAGCCAATGAAGCACTTGTGACAGGATCTGCGAGAAGGCTTCATGGTGCTGACGACCCAAGCCCGGTCCGGTCCCTGCTTCTTCCCAGCTCTCACGAGTCCTGATTCACATGGACAAACCACGTTCGAAGCCTGCCAGTCATAATTAACGTGGCAATGGTTTCACTGCCACAGCCCCGCGAAGCCAGCTTGCTGTAGGTTCCGGACAACCTAAATGCACCAATGCATTTCTGTACGTATGTTCCTATCGGATGCAATTGAGCTGACACAGGCCACTGGTCGGTGCCTTGGTCTAGACCATCACAGGCTGCTTCACTTCCACCCAGCCCATAAAGCCCGAGGCTCCAAACTTTGAACATATGTACACCATTGGCAGCAACAGGGGACCACAGCATTGCAATCACCAACTTACGGAATTATGGACCTTACAGGCTCTATTAAACAGCGCCCGGGAACTCGCTAGTGTTCCCCTGCAAAGCCTTCTAAGGTGTATGTGCTATAAAGCTGAAACACTGCAGTAGAGACACATAGGAAAGGATGGCTTAGCCACTCTCCTCATCCTCGTCCTCATCATCATCACCATGCTCGTCATCGGAGGCCTCGTTTTCATCATTTGCTGTTGCAGCATTCGCTTTCATTTTGTTCTTCTCAGTGTTCTTGTGGTTCTGGATCCTTTTGCTTGCATCCTTGATATCATGATCTGCCAAATTAATCACAGGCGTGAGCTGCTGTTCCATGAAGTCGGTCCATCCCTCAACATCAGGGCAAGTCTTCTGGCCCTCCAACATGTCTTTGGCTTTGTTGAGGGCGGTCTCCACCTTGCCTTCCATATCATGTAGGGCAGCCACCTCATAGTCATAGAGCAACTAGATTGGCAACATCTAAAGCAACTCAGAACCTTGCAATTGACCCTCTTGTGCTCAGGCCGAGACCAGCTCGGTGCAGTTGCGAATCTTGAGGCCCTCGATTTCCGCGAGTTTCGCTGGGATCGTCTTGCTCTGGTTCTCAAGCCTTACGAGGAAGTTCTACACTTAAGGCTGGGAAGGTTTAGGCTCATGATGGTTTAAGGTTTGGCATACCTCAGCAAGCCTTTCTATAGTCCGAGAGTCTTGTTGCTGGCCAGCTTCATGTCCTTGAACGTTTGCTGCTCGGGAGTCAGGGCTTTCTTCTGCTTCCTGCAAGATTCATGGTGGCAGGTTTTTGTATATCTGGTGTAGGCTTTGTAGCTCACATGGGCGCTATTGTGCATACGAGGCACTTCCCTGAGATTCTGCCTGTTTTCACATCCAAGAATCCAATCGATTCCAAATTGCCAGCGAATTCGCCCAGCTGCTTCGCCAGCAACTTCTTTGCACTTGCTTCGTTCACCCTCCCGCCAAGCTTCATCTTAGTTGCAAACACAATCACAGCATAGTTCTCGCGAAACCTATATTTGATAATCTTCAAGAACCCCGTTATTTGAGCCAAGCATCCTGTGACTTGCCCTCGGATCCAGTCTGCTTTTCCTCCACGACCTCTTTTAGGACTTTGTACATCCTGCCCTTCACGCTGTCAGGTGCCTGCAAGCGGAACAAATTGCCGGGCACACACATCTTGAGGGATCGGTTAAGGTTTGTATTTATAATTCATCTCGAAATATCAACTTTAGATCTTCAGGACTTAAAGGATGGAGCAGTTTAAGGTCACTAGGATTTCTGTTAACTCGATTATGACTGCTCCAGAGTGTTCTTGAGGCTGGCGGGGCAATTGAATTCCGAAGCAGCCATCCGGAAGGTTTTGATATAATAGGAGACCACGTGTGAAAGGTTTGGGATCGATCGATAAGCTGGACTTGATTGAGGTTAAGGGTTCATGCAAAGGGCTTTACTAGGTTTTGGGATGGTACCAGCCGCATAAACCTCCCGAGTGCCCTGACTGTATATTCCTAATCGATCCCAGAAGCTCATGTAGAAGCCTCAGTAGCAGTACACGCTGACGGTGTGAAGAGCAGCCCGCCTGCGGGTGCGGCGTTCCAGCCTGTCCTGGCAAGTGGCACGACAAACACGTGCATAGGTGCATACTGAGCATGCTTCCATAATCGAGTGTGGCTAGGCCTGTAATCAGGGCTTTGATGAAGTTCTGGGCATCTGGCGATGTGCCATAGATTTTCTCCAACTGGAAAACCGTGACCTCAACAGCTGCCCAAGGTTACTGTAGGTACTAGACTATATACAAGACTCAAGTTGTTAGACTCGATCCGTACTAGTAGGAGGCGTGAGATCCCGGCTGTCACATATTTGTCACTCCTCAGCTCCCTGACCCAACTGTGGTAGCATTCCTCCACTTCAATGCTGGCCACAGATTGCTGCACAATAAATGTTTTCAGCATCCCAAACCTCCGGGCTCGAGACAGAGAGAGATATAGAGAAAGAGAGAGAGAGAGAGAGACAGACAGAGAGAGAGAGAGAGAGGTTGCTCGTCGACTGTGGTGGTTTGTAGAACCCAGCACAAACACGTGCACACACACACACACAATGCCTGTCGCCGTCGTTGCACAAGCACATCTTCGCCGTTAGGGCTGGGTTTGCATTGCGCAGAATGGCACGTCGTAGTGCCGCATATTGCCGTTTCCTCTCTGGTCTTGGCATATCCTGACACATGTACTAGCTATCGGGAACAATGATATCTGCCCGGCGGGTTTAGGGTTTTTAGGGTTTAGGGTTTTTAGGGTTTAGGGCGTTTAGGGTTTATACGGAGGGTTTGGGATTTAGTTTTAGGGTTTCTATATATTAGGATTGAGACTGTCCTTGTTGCTTGCCATAGCCAAAATCTTGCCTTTCTCCTCCTCACTGAGTTGCGTGACTCGCCTGGTGCCCTGGGCTGGCCGCTGAGCCTGCATCGCTGGGAGCTTGGTCCTTATGGGCTTTTGGGTATTAAGTATTAAGATTTATGAATTCTACAAAGCAAGAATCGGGGGCCTGCTTGTCTTCAAAGAGTTGCTGCTTCGCGGGGGTGTCGCTGCTATTGGATCCAAAAGAGAAGCTGTCCATTGTATTCAGACGTGGGACCTTGGATGGAGGTTCCGGGGATTCCTGAAAGTCATCTTCCAATCTCCGGCGTAGCCCCGAAGGTGTCGACTCGCTGGTACTATCTCCACCTGTCGTAGAGTTTGGCGGGGAGTCCGTAGCACTTTCTGGGACCGTAGTGCTGGATGGGCTCGAATTTGCATCCGTAGTCTCCTGCAAACTAATTAGCAAAGGTTGTCTATCCATTATAGACATGCATCCCAAAGTAGGTCAATTGCACATGCCACCACCGCCACCACTGCCTGTGCCACCAACAAGAGCAATAGCAACAACAACAGCAGCAACAACAAAAACACAAGTTCACACTAACAGAATTATATGTTGCAGCAGGCCTTGACATCTGTGGAAGCCTTCTTTTCCTTCTTTTCCTTCTTCAGCTTCTTGTCCTTGTCCTTCTTATCCTTCTTCTCCTTTTTATCTTTCTTGCTCTTCGTCGCACTCGAAGACTCAATAGGCGTCTGCCTACTCGGATCCTTGCTTTTGCTCCGCAAGCGCTTCGGCACCTGACTTCCCGGGCTCTCCTTCTTCTCTTTCTCTCGTCCCCTTGTTGCCCCGTTCTCCTCACTCTCGTTCTTCTTCTCTTTCTGTGGCGGCTTGGTCTCCCCACTGTTCTCCGGAGTCTTGTCCTTCTTCTTCTGTGCTGCCCCACTGTTCTCCTGAGTCTTGTCCTTCTTCTCCTTCTGTGGCTCCTTGCTTGCTGCCCCACTGTTCTCCTCGGTCTTCTCCTTCTTCTCCTTCTGTGGCTCCTTGCTTGCTGCCCCACTGTTCTCCTCCGTCTTGTCCTTCTTCTTCTTCTGTGGCTCCTTGCTTGCTGCCCCGCTGTTCTCCTCCGTCTTGTCCTTCTTCTTGTGTGGCTCCTTGCTTGCTGCCCCACTGTTCTCCTCGGTCTGCTCCTTCTTCTTCTGTGGCTCCTTGCTTGCTGCCCCACTGTTCTCCTGAGTCTTGTCCTTCTTCTCCTTCTGTGGCTCCTTGCTTGTTGCCCCACTGTTCTCCTGGGCCTTGTCCTTCTTCTCCTTCTTTGGCTCCTTGCTTGTTGCCCCACTGTTCTCCTGGGCCTTGTCCTTCTTCTCCTTCTTTGGCTCCTTGCTTGCTCCACTGTTCTCCTGGGCCCTGTCCTTCTTCTCCTTCTGTGGCTCCTTGCTTGCTCCACTGTTCTCCTGGGCCTTGTCCTTCTTCTCCTTCTTTTACTGCCCCACTGTTCTCCTGGGTCTTGTCCTTCTTCTCTTTCTGCGGCTGCTTGCTTACTCCACTGTTCTCCTGGGCCTTGTCTTTCTTCTCCTTCTGTGGCTCCTTGCTTGCTCCACTGTTCTCCTGGGCCTTGTCCTTCTTCTCCTTCTGTGGCTCCTTGCTTGCTCCACTGTTCTCCTGGGCCTTTTCCTTCTTCTCCTTCTGTGGCTCCTTGCCCGCTGCCCCATTGTTCTCCTGGGTCTTGTCCTTCTTCTCTTTCTGCGGCTGCTTGACCGCCCCACTGTCCTCCTGGCTCTTTTCCTTCTTTGGTTTCTCTGGCTGCGCCCTTGCCCCCTCCACCTCTTTCCCCTTCTCCTTGTTTTTGTCCTTCTTCTCTTTGTTTGATCCCGGGCTTGGCTCAGCATCCCTAGGCACACCCTTCTCACAGCTGCCGTCTGTCTTCTGTTTCTTTGCTGCACGTGCTGCCACATCCAAGGCTTCATGCTTGTCCAGGCTCTCGTCTTTCTGCTTCTCCTGGCTCTTCTCCTTCTTCGCTTTCTTGGTATCCTTGGCTGCCCCAGCTGGGTCCCTGTTGCTGCTTTGCGCCTGTTCCGTCCTTGCTGTCTCCTGCTGCTGCTGCTGCTTGGGGTCGATGGCAACCTTCCCACCATCCTCTGCGCGTTTGTCCTTCTTCTCCGTGTTAGAGATACCATGTGCTGCTCCCGCTTCGTGGTCAGGCTTGCGCTTCACTTTGGTTGCAGTTGTTGCTTCGGTGGCAGGGGCCTCTGTGCTTGCTTTGCTTGCTTTGCTTTGCACCGAGCCTGGGGGGCTGCTTGCATTGGACTTGTCCCTTTTCGCATTTTTGTTTCTCCTTCTTCTCCTTCTTGGCAGACTCTATCTGCTGAGCGAGGTCGTTCAGCAACGACTCCACGGATGGTGACCTTGCACGATCCTTGGTGCCCTGCCCTGGCTCGTTCTTGCTGTTGCTAGGAGTTTCTGCTGCAAGTTTCTTAGCTGCTGCTGCCGCTGCTGCTTCCTTTTCTGCTTTTCCTTTCAGGAGTGCTTCCTTGGTCCGCATCACAGCAGACTTGGGCTTTCCTGTCAGAGACAGCAAGAAGCACATGTATACCACAACAGACAACTGTTACTGATTGTACAGAATGCATGCCCCACCTCCTTCGACCATGGTCTCCACGAGGCAAAACCGAAAAAACGCCCCTAGCCTGCTGTAGGCTGTAGGCCGATCTCGGGGTATATATAATGCAATCACATTGAAAACCCCCCATGTGCAACATAAAGAGCACTTATCTATCGACACCTGTGATCGAGACCAATTTTTGCCCGCCCAAGGAAAGTCTGATTTCTGGGTAGCAAGTGACACGAAGTGACACGCACTGACACGGTGTGATATCACAAGGTGGCTGTTATTAACCTACACTTTTAGCGAAGTGCCTGTTATTAACCTACACTTTGTATCAGGGTGACACGCACTGACACGCAGTGACACGCACCCTCGGGCCCTAAAACCCTCGCCACTCCCCGAGATTGCCTGGGTGACTAGAAAGGCCTGTTAGAGTGCACTTTGGGTTCGCGAGGGTCTCGGGGCCAGCTCTTGTTATGATTCTGGTATTGGGGGACACTAGCTTACACTTCTTGTGTGGCTTCAGGACCGAACCCCCGATCTTTGAAAGCTCCCTAGTATCAATATATGATCCAGCACTAGCATTAGCAAAACGTTCGTCAGAATTTGTGTCTCCACTTGCATTGCTCTGGGGACAAAACAACATCGTCAATCGTGCCCTCTTCGCTGCTGCTGTCGTCTTCAAGACAGCGTTGTTTTGGATAGCCGGGTTCATGTAAGGCAGCAGAAATCAACCTGGGATTGCTAGCATATAGTACACCGACACGCAGCTAGGAGAGGGAAACTCTATACATATGTGCGTACAGGACACGGGGCCATGGCATACCCGAAACCCACGGGAAAGACCGCACTATACGCCAGCTTCCTCGTATCTCCCTGCAGACAAGACCTCCCCTTCTTGTCGATGTTTCGCTTCACCAGGTCCTTCTTCCTGGAGGATTGGGCCCCCGAACACCCCTAAATTTTAAGAACCATTCCAATGGGTATTGTATAGCTTCGAGCTTATATTAGTGCAAACAAGCAGCCCAGACCGTTTCAGCATGCACCGAACATATTTGAATTTGACCCGCCTACGGATCATCTCCACCGCTGGAAGAGTTGACCATAGCCTGATAAATTGCCAAGGTGAAGGAAGCTTTGGGCAGCGGCATATCTCCGAAGGAGATGTGGAGTGCTACAGTCCTACACCAGGGTTTAATCGGGGCCCTAGGCTATCGATGTAGCTGCTGGATAGTTATAGTCCCGAAGCATCTGAACATATAGGCTAGGCGTGTTAATTTGGCTACATGCAATGCATAGACTTAAGGACTTGGGCACCCTGTCTTGGGGCAGCTTGCAGGAATCCTGACTATTGTCGCATCAGCACGCACCCACACACACATGTGTATGTATATGCATGCATATATATATATACACAAATAAACCTACAGACCGCCCAAATACCCTACCTTCTAACATGCCCTACAAATACCCACCAGTAATGACCATAAGGACTCTAGCATGGTTGGTATACACAGACTTACACATTTGCTTGTATATTACTTCACTAGATATATACTTACTGAATTATTTAAGTACTTCTTACATACTATTTATCTATTGACTTACTTCGGTTACGATTTGTTTTAAATTACTTGCCTGCAAACCTATTGCTGACTTACTTACTTACTTACTTACTTACTTACTTACTTACTTACCTACTTACTTAAGAAGCATGTTTGGGCTCAGAATGGGTCTTGTTCATAATGTAACATCAGCCCAGGAGCTGTGTCATCTTCAATGTTTCGGCACCGAATGCACCCATCGGGAAACACACCTTCCTCCGGCAGGGGCATCTGTAAACAGAGAGAACAGTCACAATAGACATGCAATTGCTCACAGGGTCTCCACATGTGCTGTCCTTGCTCCCGTCATCCTCAGAAGACGCTTCATCGGCTTGTAGTCGAACAGCAACTTAGTTGAGCAGCATGGAATGCACATGTTTCCAGGACGTGACAATCGGACCTATAAAATAATACCTCAATAGCATAGCTTATTTTGAGGGATTATTTTATAGGTCCGGTTGACACGTCTTGGTTATCAACGGCGACACACATTGATCATTCTCTGAAGGCCCCATGTAAGGCTTCTGCAGAGCTTGTTGGTTGCTCGATACAGAAATGGACCCCTCTGGTCCAAGCATAGTAGAGACTCAGTTGCGAAGCGAAGCAGCACAAGCACAGACCCCAACCACACAACTTCTACATCAGCAGATGAGAAACACATAGCACAATCTTTGAACCAGCACATTTGCCATGTAAACACATTTCAGATTGCGATTGCCAGCAGGATCGACCAGGGATCGCTTCGTGGATCCACGACTCCTTCAAGGCAACCGGGCGGGTTCATAGCAGGATACTAGGTGGTCTATAAAGCTATACATAGGCGAGGTTCAGCCAAACCCAGGTGCTGCATGGTGGAGCTGTCATGAGTAGCCCTCCTCGGCGGGTATGATGTACCTTAAATACTGCTGTGGCAACGGACATTCATGGACAATAATGCATGTATGCCAGAGTACACCAGAGTACAGCCAAGAGGCAGCTGCAAGGAGGGTGCAAAGGCCCACCGTGCGGAAGATATTGAAATTTTTGGAATCTCGTACCTTGTCCCACTCTATCTCTCTCTCGCTCTCCATCTTTCTTGCTCGCCCTCTCACACTCTCTTGCACTCTCTGCCCTCAGCCTGTATCTACACCAAGACTCGTCCATCTTGACTCCATGCAGGCCACTTTCAATCAAGCCCTGCGTAAATAGCCCCTCTCCAGCAAAAGCCTCCACCTCAGGAATCGAAGCAGGTGTCTTTCCCACAGAACGATCAGTCATGCCGGCTAGACACTAATCATAACATGTTGGCAAGCCACAAAATCATTCGGTCGGTCGGGCAAAGGCAACGTGTTTAGCCAGGCCATGATGGGAAGCAGCAAAGAGGGCCGCATCTTCACATGTTTAGGTGCACACAGACGCACACACACACAACCTATGATCAGATGATTGCGGCAGCACCATGTTCAGGCAAAGTGCAACATCGATCATGTCTTTGACTGAGGCATACATGAAGGCATCTCGTCCAATTACACACAGTTTGTTTTTCGAGCGGATTCGAGCGCTTCTCGCGAACCCCTGTGGCAGGATTGCCGCAAAGCTATTGCTTGTGCTGCCCTCTGCACACGACACCCCATCTCTCTCCCTCTGTGCGCTGGTGCATGTGTATCAGTCTGCTACATATTATGAAGAGGTCAGGTTTACTATCAGCTACAGCTCACCCAGACACAGCGAAGAGAGCGTAACCCAAGAAATCTAGCACTGCAGAGCGCTCCTGCTCTTCCTCCTCTTCTTGAGGACTTTCTTGTTCTTGAAAGACTTGGATTTGCACAGCTTTCGGCCGGGCTTGCTGCCGGCAGGACTTGACAAATATCCTGGAAAACCATTTTCTGTCGCTTTCTTAAGGGACCAAAAGACAATCCCTGAAGGGCTCCGAAAGCACTTGTACTTGCTGCCTTTCTGCGTGCCACTCAGTCGGACACGGGTCTCCACTTTCCAGCCGTCCTGCGCATTGGCAATGGTGTCTATGATGTAGTTCCTTGGCTAGGTACTTACCAACTAGCTAATCTACAGATCTACGTACTTGAAGGGATGGCTTGCTGGGTTGTATATAGTCCTAGAGTCGCAGCACCACCCCGTTTGCCACGCTGCCGGCGAAGTTTTATCATTTCGATCTGCTTCGTTGGATCCGGAACTGACATCTTCGCATACTCTAGAGCAGCCTGCTGACACCGGTTTATGGTGATAGTGTACGCAGATCGGCTGAAGTCCTTTGCATCGACCACACTCTCGAAGCATGCCTTGTAGAAGTTTGCAAGAACTTGCAACAGAACTGCGTGGCTTGAGTGTGACATTGCATATTGAAGGCAAGCAGCTGGCGGCTCCTTCTTCGCTGGGGCCGGCTTCGGCTTGGCTGCAGCAGAGGTCGAGTCAGGGCCTCATTCCGCAGACACGTGCTCTAACAGGGCTTGCACCTCGATAGTGCACTTGCTACAGCATAATTTATCCGAAGCACCCTCATGCTCCACCGGAGGTTTTTCCCCCTCATCTGAGTCTGTGCCGGGGGAATCTGATTCCCAACTGCTTTTCGATCTTCCAGAGGAACTCTTCTTAACTTTCGGGCTAGCTTTCACCTTAGCCTTAGCTTTCCC